GACTTGTGAGGTGTAGCAGAAGAGACTCGCGGAGTGCCAGCACTAGAGAATTAATAGACTATGTGATCCTTGCCTCCCCTACCCCTGTATAATATTGACGCTATTGAGGAAGGGGTTGCTGAGTGATTTGTCTAGGTTACATGACACCAATGGGGTAGAGGGAGATTAGCATGGGAGAAACCTACTAACACTCAAACCTGTGCAATTTCAAAAGCATTATATGTATCTGATCATCTAAAACATGTGAGCCCACATATGACCCATGCCTTTGCCATGGAATAGATGTGGAAGTCCTCTTGCACTACCTCCTTCCTGACACAAGAATCCTGTTGTAGATACCCCTGACCACAGGTGACGGCCATTTGTCCTGGCTTACTCCAGACCTAGGGAGTTGGGTATTTTATGGACTATTTTATTTTGTCTTTGAATATGTCTACATATTAATAAAACTATTCGGACCTAATGTCAAATTTATATATTTTTTTAAGTATTGACAGATGGTGGCCAGAGGTCAGTAGCATCATAGGTGATGGTAACTTTTGTTCTCTTTCTTAAAATATAGGCAATGATCCTTGTAGGATCGCCCTAATGAATACTGATTTGCTTTATAAAGCATCTACCATAGTGTCTGCTTTAACATAGACACATGGGTTGTAGTTATTATTGACTTCTTAGCATCATGATTGCATGTCCTGCACTTATGCCCTCTGGAGCGATGCAGACTCTGTTTAATCCTGCAAATATTTGAAGGCATTTAGCATGGCCCTCTAGGTCTTCCCCTTTTCAGACTAAATATTCCCTGGTTCCTGGGCCATGCTCCATGAAATGCACTTTGAATGCATTCATTACTCTCCCTTCTGTTTGTCAATTCCTCCCTTAAAATGTGGTGGCCAAATGTGGTCAGCCCAACGTACCTTACAGTGGAATAATTACTTCCCCTGATCAGGACGTTTCATTTCTAAAACAACCTAGATTTATGTTAGCATTTTTGGAAGCCAGATCACACAGTTGGCTCGGGGAAAACGTGATTCTGCTTTCCAGAACATTAGCTATGTCTCCCAACTTTGTGTCAACTGCATATTTGACAAGCATGATTTTTATGTCTTCATCCAAACTGTTGATAAAGATGTCGAACAAGAAAGGCCAAAGGCAGAACTTCATTTGAGGCACGAACTTTTGTGAACTGACATCCACCCTTGTGCTCTCTGTTTGGCGACGTTGTTTCACTAGCTTCAAATCTACCCACCAGCGCTATCAAAAATAAATCAGCAAGATAACTCACTCCTTGTGTTTTTGAAATCGGATGTTGAATTTATCTGGATGTAGAATGCTATTGCTTTTACCAATACGGCAGATTTTGAATGCATAATTGGGACAATGTGAACTCAGAAAATCATTTCATGTTTAAATTCCTACATAATGCTGAAAGAAAACAGTCACCTCCACGTGTGAAATGAGGATGCTGTTGCCAGATCATTTCTTTTTCCAAAGTGTTTTAACATCACTCTCTGGGTCCAAGGGAAGTCAGCATGCAGTGTGTGTGTGTGTGTGTGTGTGTGTGTGTGTGTGTGTGTGTGTGAGTGTGTAGGAGAATTATGAAAGCATGAAAATATAATTCAGAAATTATTTTGTAGGACCTCAGAGAGAAACAGAGCTCTCTCAAAATTATTGGGGAAGATGTAGTGAGAGAGCCTTATTCCTAGATAATAATTATTTCTCTTTAATGATTCTCAGAGAAGGTTCTTACGCTTTGGCATCTTGGGCTGAAACTTCATTCTTTAATTTAACATGCTATGCTTTCAAATAAAAAAAAAAAAGAAGAAGTGAACCAAGTTTCTTGTGGTGCCTGGTTTGCGCGGCAAACATAAAGAAGGTTGTTACTCATTTCTAAGAAAGACCAGAAGCTAATCACTGAGCATCCTTGGTTGTTTTTCAAAGGCTTTCCTTTCCAGTCTTCTGTCTTAGTTCTGACCTTCTTTGGTTCTTCAGCTCATACTTGAGAACGCGTTCCTTAATGTCTAAACTTCTATTGTTGTTAACATGCTTTCAGATTTCTAGGTGAGCAGGTGAGATATAAGCACTCTCAAAGGCCAGGGAATAAAGGCAGAAGCTCCACAGTCTGAATAGCCTGGGAATACTGTCCTGTTCATGGACCCCCTCTGTGTTCATTACACACCTACCTGGGATGTGATGATGGAGTCACAGTGGAGAACAGATTTAGTTTCTACTCCGTGTGATTGCAGATGAGGGAAGAAATAGATAAAATTCATAAAATCAAGAACAGCTATAATCTCATGAAATCTCCTATAGAGGAAATGGTTCCCATCAATAGAGAGGTGTGGGAAATTTCCCATAGAACGAATAGTCTGAGAGGTGAAGGGCGAAGTCAGAACCTGAGAGCTTTGGCATCAAAATAAAAAAATATTGATTGCAGGGTGCAACATGGAGTAAGGTTAGAGTACAGGCAGGAGAATTCTAGAAAGATGGGAGGAGGCACTAAGAACCAGAGTGAAGAAGAGCGTAGATGAACTAGTTGGTAGGGAGATTCCCACAGCAGTCGGAGCTGTCACAAAGATGTCGGCATCTTTCAAAGCAAAGAAGCCATGCAGTGACTGGGGGTGGGGATGGTTACTGGGCACTGTGTGCAGTGAGATGGGTTATATATTTGGTGTAGTATATGACAAAGAGGAGAGAGAAGAGCCAATGAGAGTGAAGAAGGTCTCCCACTACGGCTGAGGTTCTCCATCTTCCTAATGCTGTGACCCTTGAATGCAGTTCCTCATGCTGTGAGGAACTTCAACCACATATTTGCTACTTCACAGCTGTAATTGTGCTACTGTTATGAGCTGTGATGTGAATATCTGATATTCGGGATATCTGATAGGTAACCCCAAAGGAGTCGTGACCCACAGATTGAGAACCTATCTCTGCGTGACAGGAAAGGAGATGACGGTAGTTAGGTATGAGCTGGTGGAACAAGGTATGGAAATAGAGAAAGAAGAGGGATGCTTGGGTTAAACTGGATGGATTTGAAACGGCATCTGCAAGTGATAGAAAAGTGTCCTGGGAAACTTGAGACACCTTGCATTTTTATATTCTTCTCTGTGCTTACAAAGATGTGAGTCTAATCATCAGATCGTACAGCTTAAGTGACAATGGAGACAGCACAATGACAAGAATTCCAAAGAAGAGTCAGAATTCTTCTAGGCTTTGGACATAGTGTTGAAATATGGGTGATTTTAATACGGAGAATGTTTGAGTGTCTTTGGGGAGATGAGCAATACAGAATATAACCCGCACAGTGGTCTCGACCTGAGGCTGTAAGGATGCTAACGTTCACCTATGAGAGGAACAACATATGATGTTTATTTTCGTCATTGTTTTGATGACTTTTGAAGCTTTAGATCCCATAAAGGAAAATGTAGCAAACCCCTGCCCGCAGAGCCACTCGTCTCTACACACCATTTCCCTCCTTCTCCATTTGCCTAGCCACAGAATTTCCTCATGCCAGAAAAAACCTTCCAGTGTGCGAGAGGAGCTGTCCGGTCATATGTATATATGTTTGAGCCTTTGGGACCCTGTGATGACATAGTCAACTCTCAGTCTAAGCCAGGTGCCCGTTTTCCATCTGGACTCCTTACAAATTGTGTGGTCAGGGCTCAGAAATCAGAAACCCTGGAAAGGTGCCACATGATGGGTGCAGCCTCCCCCAGTACCTCACATGTTAGCACCATCATTTAACACATAGTGCAGGAAATCCTGCTCTTTGCAGAAGAAATTCAAAGGGTCACTTCATCATTTCTCCTATGGTTTCTTTTCCCCTTGGTAACACCAATGTGTGCACAGATATATACTTTTTGTCTTCAAGTGAATTGCAAGTGACACTCCATTTCTTCCCCCGCATCTTCAACCTATTGTCCAATTGACCTCTGGAAGTCCCCTGTCTTTCTAGGCTGATTGACATGGCACCTGCCTGCACAGGGTTCTGCTGCAGACTCTTGCCTGCTGCCTTGACGGCCATGCCCTTTCCGTTCCTATGCCAGATTCTGACTTGGTCACATTTCAGCCCTCATGCCTCAACCAGTCCTCTTCAGCCTTGCTGTGCATTCCATCTTGTCCCATTGCCTTGCTTTTCTACCTAGTATAGTTATTTAATGTATTTTTTTTATTTTAGCTTTTTTCGAACGCCATAGTGTCCATCAGAATCATCAGAAATCCATGCATGACAGTAGCCTGTTGTGTGACTCAGAAATTGCTTCTCTACTTCATCTGGGCAATGGTGTTTGTTGAAGGGCTACCCTGTTCCACCTACCAGCATTCCACAGGCTAGAGGACCAACACGCTGTTCTGTTTTCCAGTATTCACGTGGTTGTCAGGGGGTGATTTTGTGAAGACACAGACATCTGTTGTGTTATACTTGACATCGGACTCCCGGGGCCCCAATTTGAGCTATTAGAACCATCATATTTTAGAACCTATGTTAGAACCTACACATGTTACACGTTGTTTAGCACCGTGATTATGATCTAGAAAATTATGGGATGCCTGGGAAGGACGGTATGTAGTTGTAGTGTTGTAGTACAGAGAGCCAGGAATCAACCTGGTGTGATGCACACACAGAACAAGATGAACAAAATCCACAAGTTCACAGCATCCCGTACTGCCATTCTCTGGTGCAGTGTGTATCACCCAGTCGGATGAGGTATACACTAACCCTTTTCGCCCTCCACCACATGAGCCTTCCCTCAGGGTAGCTGGTGGCAGTATGTTCAGCAGATATCAAGGCATTTTTAGGTATGCTTTACTCTTTGGGTAAGTAATCATTTTGTATCTCCTCTTAGCTGTTCGAGTATAACAAGACCAATGACCCCATGCCTTGCTAGAAGCTCTAATTCTGTTTAGGCTACATGATCAGATTTCCAGCTTTGGCCTTGGAGGGCTGGGGAGTAGATGAAACGTTGGTTCCTTCTGACCTTTCTCTTCTTGTCTTCTCCGGGCAGAATATCTCCATGCATAATGCAGTTGGTGGGACCATGACGGGGCCTGGATCTCACCAGCTCGGCAGCACCCGGATGCCCAACCACGACACCAGTGTTGTGATTCAGCAAGCCATGCCTTCGCCCCAGTCCAGCTCAGTCATCACGCAGGCTCCCTCCACCAACCGCCAGATCGGGTAAGGAGACTTCCTCTTTGTTTCTGGAAGAGCTCAGGCAACCGTTTGTATATTCTCTCTGATTCTGGTACTTGGATTTGTTGCTTTTCCTGTCTAATACGATGCTTCCGAGAGGCTGGAGTGATGCTTTTGAGGAGAGAAGGAGTCTCCATTTGCTCAGAGCTATTTTGATCCTAGATATCCTAGATATTGAGGACAAAAGCTCTTCATTATGTGACCTTATTTCTTCAAATAAGATTTGTGAATGGCAGACAAAAATAGTGGTGTTATGCAGACCACAGAAGACTGCCCAGGACAAAAGTTTGGTGGCAACAGCCCAGGCTCCTTCTTGCAGTGGGCCCTGTCCACAAAACCCTTCCTAGGAGTTATGCAGCTGCTTGGCTGGGCCACTAGTATATTCCACAACTGCATTCCTTTCTGGTCTTTCTTTCTGGCCTCTTTTTCTTGTTATTTCTTTCTTATCAGCCCTTCCAGGCCTCTCCATTGGTTCATGCTTATTTCTGGAACAGACAAACCAGCGTAAGCAGGGCCCTCCCCTCTCATTTATGGAATAAGGCAATATTGAGACCTTGAGGGAAACCGATAGAAGTAGCTTGATATCCATATCATGTACTGGAAATTGTTCTCACTTCTTTACATCCTATGACTGGTCCATCCCTTGGTGCAGAGTGTGGTCTGACCATCAGCAATGTGGGCATTGCCCAACAGCTTCTTAGAAATGCAGAATCCCTAACCTCCCCACTTCCTTATCTCCAGAATGAGGGTGGAGTTTCTTCTTTACAAACTCTAAAGAAAGGCACTGGTTTTTTAAGCATACACTACTGGGCATAGAGAATTGGCTGCCCCTGAAACCAGAAGGGGAACTTGTGGTGGTCCATACACACATCTGAATGTAATCTGAATTCTCAGGCGACTACTAGCTGTGGTGACTTAAGACAAATTCAGATGCTTCCTTACAATTTTTCCTTGAGTTTTTTTCCCTGAGAGCCACAGTGGGCACAAGACAAAGCCTTGGCTCACTCCTTGAGTGCTCCGGAGTAGGGTACTGTGTCCCAGACTTCTCAATTAGATGTCTCAGGGGGATACCTAATGACACAAGAGCTGCAGGTAATGATCCCTCTGTTTGTCAGTGGCCTGTTTGGTGGCTCACCAAAACACAGACAGTGTGTGTGTGGATGTCCAGGGGCTTGCTTTTGCTTTAAAAAGCAGATATCACTCTAGCCAAGTACCTCCGTGAAAGGCTTCTTCTCAAGCAACTTGGAAAGCAAGTATTGCCACTATCTCTAAACTGCAATGTCCTTGAAGGGTAACGTGGCTTCATTAAAGATGGTGTCTGCATCTCGGGGGGACTCCTTTTCTCTTGGGCCCTGACTGCAGGCAGACAATTCACAGCTGGACCGGCTAATTATGATTATTTTATTTTTCTTTCAAGGGGGGGAAAAGCATAAAATGTGCTGGAGTTTACTAGCAATTTTACAGCATTCCTTCTCCCCTGCAGCCCTGGCCTGCCCCTTGTACCCTTGCCCACAGCCCTCTCTGAGGCCTTAGTGTTCCCCATTGTTAACGCAGCACTGAGTTTTATGAAGCAATCCTTTTAAGGCTAGCACTAAATTTTAAGATGGGTGTTGACTCTGTCAATAATTTATCCAGCTGGCCCCAGACTGTACATTTTGGGTGACATTTGTAGGCTGTGTCACTCTGCCATTCTTTTTGCTTCTTGGGGGCGTTGTGTGTCTCTCCTGATGTGTTCTAGGAGATAATTGTTACTTTTAGGACTCTGTCTCGTTGCCCAGCTTGAGGGAGGCTATTTCTTTTCTCCAGATCCTTTCCTGTCGTGCTTACTATGTTGATTCAAAACCCCCACATCCTGTCAGTCCTGGGCTTCTTCTCCATGTGTTCCATACAAAGGCTAGCCTAGATGATCTCGGGGCTCAGCAAGACCCAACCCTGCCCTTCTCACCAGTGGATTGAGTAGGGAACCCTAGGTGGTAACATTTGGGGATGGTTGGCTCTTTTATTTCCCTCAGCTAAGAGGAAATGAGTGCTCATTTTAAAATACGAGTTCCCCTGGGAGACATCTGCAAATGAGCATTTGAAATTGCAGATAGCTTTTTAAAATTTCTAGTGTGTGTGTGTGTGTGTGTGTGTGTGTGTTCGATGCATGTGTACATGCACACACATGTGAACATGCATGAGCATACAGAACCATATTGTAGTAATATTCTGATTTTTATCACAGCCTCAAATATTTAAGTGTCAAAATCTGGCCAAGCCACCTGCAAATGTTTGTCATGGCCATTGGCCAACAAAAACAGCACACAGCAATGAAAGTCTTCATTCAGGCTCAGTGCTGAAGCTGCATCCAGCCAGAGAGACTGGGACCCACCTGTGCCCACGCACGGCACTCTTGTGCTGTGGCCAGTGGGTGTGTCCTCAAGTGGACTGTGAGGAGGAGACAGGGCTGCCTGCCTCTCCTCCCTGTCTCTTCTTCCCTTTCACTGGCGCTTCGATCCTGCAGCCAACTCTCTCTCTCTCTCTCTCTCTCTCTCTCTCTCTCTCTCTCTCTCTCTCCCTCCCTCCCTCCCTCCCTCCCTCCCTCCCTCCCCTTTTCATGCTGTAAAGCTTAAGCTTAGAGTCTTGGCATAAAGGTTTGCAAACTGGAAGTGATGTCAGTTATCAGTGAAGCCTTCCAGGACATAGGGTACATGTCCTTGTAGGCATCTAATTTTCATACATGGGTGAGGAGGGCAGACCCTCAGACAAAGCAGACCAAAACAAGTGGAAATACAAAAACCTGAAGAAATATTCAGTATGTGGACAAGCAGCAGATTCCACTTCTATTCTATTCCATGGCGACCCCTGCGACGCCCTCTGCTCAATTCTGTAAAAGTAGTGCTATTATCTCAAGAGAAACTGGAGGGAAGTATAAATACCCCAAACTGCACTTGGGTGGTTAGGCAGGCTAGAAAAACACAGGGCTCTGGCGAATGTGGGCGTCGTCTCCAAACCGGTGACTGCTTGCGCTCAGTAAAACTGGCAGATGCCCTGTTAGGAAGAGGCTTTGGCTGATGGATGGGATCGTTTTAGGAGATAAGTTTCCCAGATGGGGTTAAAAACAAATGAGCTATGGGTTGTGGAGAGGCAAGAGAGGCAGAAAACAAACATGTGTTAACTAGAGATGAAATCGATTGAGCCTTGAACCAACTATGTGCCACATTCCAAACAGTATCTCTACCCCAGTCATTTTTATTAGATATCATATAACACGCTCATTAACTCAGGATCAAGTCAGCAAAGCCTGGGAAAGACGGTCCATGAGCAGGTAATGGTAATGGAAATCCCACACACCTCTCAGTGTCTCTCTTAACCCGAGGCGTTTCTCGAGGAGCCCGTGGTTAGTGGAGGAGCTAGATGGTGACCCTAATAGAGCCAATCATTCTCAGAGAAGTCTGTTTCCTCTGTGAGGTGCTAGGTGACGCATGCCCAGTCCTTCCTCGGGAGGGTGATGTAGATGATAAGGACACAGATTTCTTCAACCATGATGTACAGTGGAAGGTTCTGACAGGTTGTTGGAGGCACTGTTGACCTATTGACCTATTCTCTGGATTTTCTCCTCGCTTTTTAATTCTCTGTCTACTGGGTAAACGCATGCTCATATTTGAGGAAGCCTCCGCAATGATTGCTTATAATGAGATTTTTATGCATTTAGCATAGAACGTACAAATGCGAAACATTTTGGTTGTGTTAATTAGCCAGCTGTACTAGGGAAGTGGGCAATAAGCTTCAACAGAGTACATATATGAAGCTGCCTAGGTAGTAAATCCCTCCCCGATTTCACTCAAATTCTAGTCCGTGGGGTACAAATGTTTACATCATGCATAGCGAGTGGGTGTTGGGTCATAAACTCTACTTACACGGAGCTGAGGCTAGGCAGTTCTATTTCCCAGTAATAAACTGTACAATGTGTTGGGAAACGAACTTGTTTTCTATAAGAAGGCACTGTTACGTAGGTTCTACATCTTCACCCCCGGCCCATGCTGCGTTCTAGTGCTTCCTTGCAATCCCTTAATGCTATGTCATGGACAGTGTCCAATGATGGTCCCTTGGGCATACCGAGGAAAACCAACAAAAACAAACCATTAAAAAATAAAAACTGAAAGTAAAGCTTATGTGACAAAACACTGCAGCTTTCTCTAAGGAGGAGAACAAGGAGGCTCTGCTGTATGGATTGCCAGTGTCACTTGGAGTGCCGTCAGATGGGGACGTTGAGAGGCAAGGGGTTCCTAACACTATTCCTTTGGGAAATAGAAACAAGGAGAGGTTGAGAAGTGTTGCGATCACAGACAGGAAGTTTAAAAATCAGGATGATACGAAATAATAATACGACACTTTACAGTTAAAAATGTGCTTACAAATTCTGTGTTTGATATCATTATTAAGTTTTCTTAAATGCCTCAACCAGAGCCTAGCCGTGACTGTCACTGTCCACCGTAGGCTAAAGTTGGGGATATCCTGGCCAGTTCCTTCCTGTTGGAGGCAGTGGGAGTAGATTTCAGGTTGCCCTGTAACTCCAGCCCTCAACCAGAACAACTTGAAGCCCCCTTTGAGTAATTCAGACCAGAATCCATTATTTCCTGCTTTGTGTTTTGCCGAATATCACGGCTATGAGCATAGCTTTATTGTTTAAAAATTGCAAGATCTTTCACAGCCCCAAGAACATTTATGAGGGCCCTTCAGGGGGATTGCTTTCTGAGAGGGTTGACAGACTTAACCATATGGCTTCCGTTAAATCCCAGGCAGAGCCTTGAGAAATTACCTCTGACAAGGGGGCCGGCAGCCTTCCACTCATAGCGTTTTTTTTTTTTTTCTTATGTGTGGAACAAAACTTTAAGTACTGATACTTGAGGAAATAGAATGTTTCTGAACAGTCAAAGGTTGTAACACCACAGAGTATTATAGGCGGATGAAGGGGTGTAGCTGGAAGACATGAGCATACGGCT